AAAAAAAAAAAAGCCACAGCCCAGTGTGGTTCAGACACCCAAAGAAACAAACTATCTACTCCTTAAGTGAAACTAGTAGATCCCACTGGGACTACCTAGAGCTGCACTATCCAGTATAGTAGGTATTAGCCCTATGTACAATTTAAATTTAAATTCAATACAATAAAAATCTTGGTTTCTCAGTTACATTAGCCATATTGCAAGTCCTCATACTCTACTCTTGGGCAGTATGGACACAGAACATTTCCATTGCTGCAAAAACTCCTACTGGACAGTAGTGATCTAGAAGCCAAAAGCTTTTGGAGGAATAAGGTTATGAATGAGCAGCCCTTGTCTTTCTAAAGGTGGCAGTAATGTTACAACAGATTACCAATCATAGAGACTGCAGATGCCACTGAGAATGGGCAAGAGAATGGTAGAGATCATAGTCTAAAGTATTATTCCTAATAAGAAACTGAATTCACAAAAAGTCTAATGCAGTCACGGCATGGAAAGACCACTAAGATACTGTGCAGATGGGACTGGGCAGCACATTTCCTAGGAATGTTGCTATTGATTAAAAGGAGCATAGTGTTCCATGGCTCCCACTAGCCCCATGAAATGTCTGAGGACTTCTTCAGACAAATAATTGTGTTTAATTTACAGATAGACTATGAGAAGCAAAAGGAAGGGCCCCCTAATGGATTAGGACAGATGGTTTTAGTAGGATATAAATGGCCAGCCAGTGAGTTTCTGGTTCCTGATTCAACTTGTACCTTCCTCCAAATATACCACAGGGCCTGATATAAATCAGGTGCTTGATATAGATTTATAAAATGAATAAGCCAACATAAAAAAATTAAATGTTGAGGAAATTCTGTTAAAACTTTGGGTCAAAAAAAAAAAAACAACCTCTACATTCCAGCTTAAGATATGATATGGTTGTAAGAGGGAAAAGAAAGTAGGGTACAAAATAGTCTTTACAGTTTGATCTTGGCTACATTAAAATATGCATTAAAAAAGACCAGGCATTATGGCTCATGCCTATAATCCTAGCACTTTGGGAGGCTGATGTGGGCAGATCACTTGAGCTCAGGAGTTCAGGACCAGCATAGGCAATATTGGCGAAACGCCATCTCTACAAGAAACGCAAAAAAAATTAGCTGGGCATGGTGGTACATGCTTATAGTCCCAGCTACTTGAGGGGCTGAGGCAAGAGGATTACTTAAGCCTGGGAGGTTGAGGCTGCAGTGAGCTAAGATCACACCACTGCACTCCAGCCTAGGTGCAAAGTGAGATCCTGTCTCATAAATAAATAAAAGACAAAAACATTAACAAATAGCAGCTGTTTCTGCATAGAGAGGTTATGGGTGATTATAATTTTCTTCATATTACTTACAATGAGCATGTACTTCCCTTTCTGAAATTAGAAAACTAGAAAAAAAGGGTCTAGAAAACCCTAGAAAAAATACCAAATTTAGTATTTTGTAATATAAGACTTAAAGGGCCAGGTGCAGTGGCTCATGCCTGTAATCCTAGCATTTTGAGAGGCTGAGGTGGGCGGATCGTGAGGTCAGGAGTTCAAGTCCAGCCCGGCCAACATGGTAAAACCCTGTCTCTATTAAAAATACAAAAATTAGCTGGACATGGTGGCATGCGCCTGTAATCCCAGCTATTCGGGAGCCCGAGGCAGGAGAATTGCTTGAACTGCAACCCGACAGGCAGAGGTTGCAATTAACCAAGATCGTGCCACTGCATTCCAGCCAGGGATACAGAGCGAGACTCCGTTTCAAAAAACAAAACAAAACAAAAAAACAAAAATTAGCCAGGCATGGTGGCACAGGCCTGTAGTCCCAGCTACTCGGGAGGCTGAGTCAGGAGAATCATTACAACCAGGGAGACAAAGGTGCAGTGAGCTGAAACAGTGCCACTGTACTGAAGCCTGGGCAACAGAGCAAGACTCAAAAAAAAACAAACAAACACAAAAAGATTTAAAGATTGACCTAACCTTTTGAGGAACTATTTATAATGATGTCTTTCTAAACAGACCATATTAGAGCTTCAATCTAACAGAATTTCCAGAGGTTTCTTTTGCAATTATTTAGAAAGATTAGAGAAAATCACTCAAGCCTGAATTAAAATCTCAGTCATAGAATACAGAGCCACATATTCTGATGAGCTCTTTGGGAAGCATCTGTCACTGTATGCATGAATTCTCCTTCCTTAGAATGATGTGATCATGACCATAAGGCATTGTGTAAAGCCCTCAGCCCCTGACATGAGCACAAAGGGGCATGCCAAAAAACAGAAAGGTAATACCCTCAAGAGCCTCAAGCTATGTCTTACTTGTCGAGTACCCAGCAGAAAAAAACTGTGTTCTCAATCCCATGTACACAGCTATACACCCAAATAAAAGGTACCAACAACTGGGCGAAGACTGTTTAGCATTTGTTTTCCTTATGTGTATGTGGTTTTTTTTTTTTTTTTTTTAAAGGCTGGGGGAGAGAAAGAGAGAGAGATCCGAGGCTCTCTTGGAGAACTGCTTCTAGCTTCATGAGTAATCACCCTGGAAAATGGGAATGGCTGAGTCTATCTGACAGTGTTTGGCTCCAGAGCTTCTGAATGAAGATCATTAGCTGGTTCTTGACTCAAATGTGGTTAACTGAGGCCATGTCATTTATTCTCTGTACTCATTAAAAGTTCAATACTACTCACTGGGGGCATTCTAAAACGCTAACCTTCTGGGGCCCTTCCCTAGAGACTTCTTTCTCTCTCTCTCTCTTTTTTTTTTTTCCTGAGATAGGGTCTTGCTGTCGGCCAGCCTGGAATGTAATCACGTAATCACAACTCACTGCAGCAACGACCTACCAGGCTCAAGTGATCCTCCTGCTTCAGCTA